CTCTTGCTGTTAAAACCGAAGGAATGGGCGCCGACGTAGTCCCAACTTCTGCCAACGTATGCGAGACCGTCGCCTCCGACGAGGAAATTGTAGGCGATATCCGACCACTGTCTAGATTCGATATGGAAAGTCTGAGCAAATCTTACATGGAATGTACACTGTGATTGCGTGGTACAGAAGTCTGTCGCGGTGTGACTAATAATAACGTATGGTACTGGCAGCTTCAGTTTTGTTAGAGGTTCCGAGGGTGGCTGCGCACCCCATTCGTTTCTCTCAACAAAACGTACCGAATTTACTGTTATACCTGAAAATCACGGAAAATAAAAATAAAATGTATATTGTACCAAAAGTTCAAGATATACCATGCAGACAATTTAATTAGAAACTCTTTAATTTTATATCGAATGCGATAATTTTAATCAAATGTATATGTCAATTTTCCCAATAAAATCTAGAATGTTAATCTTTGTATAAGACTGCAAAGTGTTTTGAAATGTTTAATATTCGATTCGTGGGAAATATAAAAGACGTGCATTTTACAGGTAAAATAAATATAATAAGTGTAATACAAATATAGAGTGCAGAACAGATTTAAATTTTGCAATCGGCGAATTACGATAAAATAATATTTATTTCATGCGCTTTCAAAGCAAAAAATTTTCCAGGAATTACCCTCGATCGATGAGTCTGGAATTTGTGGGAAGACTGGTGCAGTTGAGTGATGAGATTGGGTGAAATATACAACTGTGACCACTATAGTAGCTAGAAGTATTAAAGCTAGAACGCACGATAAAGCCGCACATCTCCAAGTCCAGAGACATCGCGTCACTAGAATAATTGTAAAGAGCTGTATTAGAACGATTAAATAATGCTACGAGAGCGTTTAATGAAATTCATGCGCGATTATTACGCCGGGTAGCATATGTATGTTCAACAAAAGATATAATTATATTAAGCTTTACATTTTGATTTATGATGTTTAATGCCTTTTCTGTTACTCTATTCACAGTCGAGTAAACAATTTGCAGCATGCAATATTATCTATGTCAATATGCCGCCTGCATGCTGCCAATCTATGTCAGAATAGCATAAAACGTTAGGTGCAGTACTACAAAATAAAAATAGCCCTTTTATATTTAGCTTTAAATCTTATGACGCAAGAACAAATTTCAATTTAAAATATCAACAATATTAAAATTCACTATATGTATTATATGGCATAGTTACAGAAAATTAAACAATTCATTAGTCAAAAGAATTGATGGTATAATAATAGAGAAATAAACTCCCGAGAATATATCAAACATATTAAAGTAGAGGCCATATGCGAACACGGATGTGTATTAATTTTTTTTTACAATATTCAACCACACGCAAAATGCGCGCCGCATATTCGTCGGTCCTAAAACACAATTCATTACATGAAGCCGGAATCACTTGTAACAAATTAAATCGATTAACGATTTGATGTTAATACGCATCTATAAGAATCCCCTTCCCCCTAATCTTGTGTTTCAAGACCGATGAATATGCGGCGCGCAGTTTGTGTGTAGTTGGATATTGTAAAAAAAAAGATTGCACACACACATTCGTGTTGGCTCGCATACTCTACTTTAATATGTTTAATGATAATAGTTATAATGGTTTTTAAAAATTGTTGTAATCTAGAGAGATCCTAAAGGGATCTGATAACATACTTCACGCTCTCGAGAAAATATTGAAGCTACTTTGAGATAGATGTAGATCAGATAATATACAATTGTGAATTGAGATATATATATATATATATATATATATATATATTTATACGTTTTAATATTTGCTTCTTTCCGATTATCTCAAATAAAACTATCAGTACTACAAGCAATATTACAAAGTTGTTAAAATGCTTACATATGAAGACAATTTGATAGGATGACGTCTTTGAGTTTATCAGACGAAGCTACGTCGATCACGTGTTCGTTGAAGCACTATTACGAAAATTAACATCCGCAAGTAATCATTGCGTTAAATTCTACCGATAAATTTAATATTTTTATAGGATAGATATTCTTTCGATTTAATATTATTTATATTCTCAAGATACTTATTATAATACTTATTATAATATTTGCTTTTAAATTGTTAACTTAATTAGAAATATATTTTCTCTTATGAGAAAATTTATTAAAGTGTCTTGCGATAATATAAAAAAATATTTACATTGTAATTCAATGTATTGGATTTATAATTTCTTATAAAACTGTATCCTGTTTTTATCATGTAGATCCAGGAATTTGCAAATCTATCTTTTTTAATTGCCCGGCGATTTTGTACTTATTTATGCTTCTTGGAAAGAAAACACAAATGTAGAAAAACTAAAAGTAACGAATAGACTTAAACAATCTATTGTACGATTGACTATTACCTTTATTTAATTCAGTATTTTGCGGAAAAATAGATCCATTGGAGACTTCTTCGTTCTTATTCGTCGACAAATGCGAGACGTTGACGTCGGAGGCGCGGCTGACGTCGAATTTATTATCTACATCCTGGACCGAAATGGGATTCGTATAAACGAATTGCTTTATAGTAACCGGACCCTTGTAGAAGGTCTTGTTACCCAGATGCACATTCGTCGAGTTCTTTACGCAAATGTCACCGAAATTCGACGGATCGGCGTTCGGCAGGACGACATCGCCGTTCGTGGTGGCAACCGCTTGATGCTGCTGAACAATAGTCGACGACACCGGCAGATTCGTGATCCAGCCGCCGCCGCTACCGTCTTCCTCAACGTCCGTCTCCTCTTCCTCATCGTCGTCGTCTACGTCACTGCACTGCGTAGAGGAATCTCCAGCGCTACCATTGCCTGGAGCGACGACCGCGGTTTCCCTCGCCGAGCGCGCAGCCTCGCCGCGAAACTTGTCAACCGCGTGACTCTCGGCAGACACAGCAGCACCGTTTACGTGATTTTGCTCCTTCTGACACTGATGATTACCATCGAGCGTTTGCTGCTGCTGTTGTGCCAATGTCACCATACCCATACACTACGCGGAAAATTCACCTTGATACTTTGCACATTGAATGTGTCTTGAAATGCGATTCTTCGCATGCAGCAGAATGCGCTTGTGAAGAAACAGTTATGGATGCTTTAGATATAAATTCATCAAGTCGTTATACGATCCTTTCACTTTCATTAGAATATAAATGTGCGGTTTAATTCTTTGTCTCTTTTTGTTTTTTCTTCTTATTGTTAGATAAAAGTTACGATTTTGTGGTTACGATTTTTATCTTAAAAATAACTTTTCCACAAATTGTTAAAGCATATTTAAACTTTCTTTGTTGACTGTTGTAATGAAACAAAATTCCAACACTATACGCATGCTGCATACGGGATAGAAATCGCTTATGCATTTTACACATTTATACAAATATTTATACTTGATCATCGTAAATCGCAGTATAAATTATATGCGTATAATTATATCAATATAAATTATATACGTGTATTAAAGATTTCGGTGTTGCTGATTCAGTAGACGAATTTATTATATTATTATTAAGAATATGTAATATGTATGTATATTATTTCGGTGAGTCATATGGTATCATCACATATTCTTATGAATGCTGACACACTGTGGACCACCATAATGTGCCAATGTGCACTTTTTGCACCGAATTTTTTATCATACATAATTATTTTAAAAATAAACAATCGCGATCAATATACACTTCTCAACAAAATTAAAGCATCACTTACTCTACCCTCCAAAAATAGGCAAAATTCAAGAGAGTGTAACTTCGTCAAAAATGATCGTATCGAGATGTTCAAAAAAGCATTTTTACAGCTTGAAATCTCTACTTTTCAAATCGACACTTTAGAAAACGATCCTATTGATTTTTTTATGGAATTACATGGATAGAAAAGGAGATTCGACAAATCTCAAAATTTTTTACGAACTTTGACAAGTTCCATAGCGCGAATTAAAAATCGCATGCATATGCAGTTTGCAGCTTTCGAAAGAGTGAATCTTTACCTTTAATTTGCTTTTTTGTTGAGCGTTGTACGATTTTTTTTCACCGAGTTATTCAACATTAAAGCAAAAATGGTCCTTTTTACTTCAATGTTGAATAACTCGGTAAAAAAAAATCGTATTCACTCTTTCGAAAGCAGTAAACTGCATTTGTGTGCGATTTTTAGTTTATGCCATGAAACCTTTTAAATTTAGTACACATTTTTGGAGATTTGATGCATTTTCATTTGGACCTATGTAATTCCATAAAAAAATCAATAGGATCGTTTTCTAAAGTGTCGATCTGAAAAGTAGAGATTTCAAGCTGCAAAATGCTTTTTTGAACATCTCGATACGATCACTTTTGACGAAGTTACACTCTCTTGAATTTTGCCTATTTTTAGAGGGTAGAGTAAATGATGCTTTAATTTTGTTGAGAAGTGTATAAATGTTTCAATAAAATTATTATTCTATATTTTAATAATATTACTTTGAAACTCCGTTTCTACAGATGACGAAGATTTACGCCAGTCAGAATGAGATGTGTTAATTTCGGACAAGGTATATGTGATAAAAGCGAACTGCAAAAAGAAAATGAATGAAGCATACAAAACGTCTATAACGAATTGATTTCTTCGTAAACATATTATAATGAACATCAATTATATACTAACACGCTGAAGGAGTATCATAGATTAAACGTCGCAATATCTCGTATCTTCGCCGTTCGAAATATTTTACTGCGGAATAAGTTGCGTACAAATCTACCTAATCAATCGCTGATTCCGCTTATCTATATATCACGGTGGCAAATCTTTATAATTAGTCATGGCATACTCTTACTCACAATCAGGTAAAATTATTTATATCTCCGATCACAGCATGTAAATAATTCATCGTGCCTTGTCTTGTGTAAATTACACATCAACTGTAGGAACGAAGTTCATTGTAAATAGAAGTGATAACATATGTATTCAACGTATATTTTAATTAAATTAAGAATTTCGTAGATAAAATAAAACAGCGAGCTCGAACGGAAAACATCGTCCGTGATCAAATCTCAGAGAGCTTATTACGGTTCTCGGAAATTGATGAACATTACAGAAGTGGGCAAATTCACCAGGTGGTGACTAATGAAATTATAAATATTTTAATAAATTCGCTCATTTTTTAAATTTTCACCAATTTTCGAGAACCGTAACAAACTGTCAGGTATCTCGAATCTCGGCACAACCGGTCAGCAACAATCCGCATTATTCGCTAAATTAAGGACTGTCTGACTCAGACCCGAGATTACCTCGCACAAATCATCATTCGTGCTGGTGGTGGTCACTTTGCCAACACTAGACTCATCAATTCATAACGACATGGTCACCGTGGAAAATGCTTCGCGGAAGGGAAAAACTTCATTCAAGCTGCAGGTCCCGATACGTTTTTCGTCACGTTGTTGACTCCACCTGCTGCTGATGGAGAATGCACTGACCCACAGGTACAAAGTACAATCCGAACAAGAATTTACGAACGCGTTTTAGGCCACTATCGGTTATCTCCGCTGATCCTACGACACTGTCGAACAGATACTGACTTCAGCGATGACGCTATACGGCTGCCGAAGGACGACGCGCCATGGAGGTGGTATCGTGGAAAGCGCTCGTTCTCGCTCGCAAGGAGAAGTAAAACGAGAAACGGAAAAAACATAGAGCGAGAACTGGTACGACGTGTACAATATATTCCCTTTTTGCACAATATTTCCGTATCTAATTCGAATCGTAACTCGAATTTCTGCGCTGATACGCGGATGGCACCGCGGTCATCACATGTCACACTCGATCTACTCTGTGTGTCACTGCAGCAGATTGCGCTGCGTATTATAACGAAGTCATCACAAAAATATAATGCAATCCGGGGATAATATTTTATATATTTCGAAATACACACGATTTTTTCCAAAAAAAAATGAAATTTTACGGCCGCAAGCCGCTTCACCGATAAACGAACTACCAATGGAATTAAAGCATGCGTTATAATGGCGGCTTTATCTCCATTCAATCCGACACAGAACACTGCTGCGTCTGCTGTCGCGTTGTCGAACATGCTCGGAAATCGTTGGCCCCACTCTGCCTCTTTCTCTCTCAACCACAACGATTAACGATATAGCTGCAGTGGTATGCATGTATGTGCGATAACGTCACTTAACGCGTCGCTTTATACGATTTTCAGTCTTTTTCGTGGAGCCGCGGCTGAACTTGTATTTTCCTTTCCGTGGCCGGAGATTTCTAACAGCTGCAGTAACATGTACGAAATATCTATATTATTTTTATTATATAATTTTCTTTCCAATTAGAGACAACAAATTAGTGTTTTGCGCTAATTATATTGCGGAGAACAGATGGAAACATCGCAATAATATATATATATAAGATCGGAAGAG